TATAGGTGATGGATATTTTTCTGGCCTAGTGTTTGTTTATTTGTCACCATGACCTTTGACCCAACATGTCTGTGTGCCCCGCCCCCAGGTCCCCTACGCGGCGTCAGAAGTGGAGGACACGCTGGTCCAGGCGCTCTCCCCCGAGCAGAACTTTCGCATCCTGACCCCGATCATACAGACCATGGAGTACCACATCGCGTGCGGCGCCACGCAGATGATGACCAAGGTCAGAGATTTTCTCTATACTTTCGATAAGAGTAGGCTTTGGCCGCCACCCGGGCTAAATTCAAAATTGATTCCTACTAGATTGAAAATATTTAATGTGTCCCGCACGAGGTCAGAGCCTGGTTTTGTCTATCATTGGTCAGCTGTTCACCCCAGAATTTTTAGAGAAGCTTTTAAATGCAAATTATTAATCTGTGGTATGGGCTAAATATGCTCAAGATTCCGCCGTACGTCATTTTTTAAAAAATGATGTACGTCGCAGTCTTACGCTGAGCAATGGAAATGTTAGTTCAGAACGTGCGGTTTTTCCCAACATCAGGGGACATATCTGTACAGAGAGATGGCTGTCTGGAGTGGTAGATAATGGTTAGATTAGAGGTGTTTCTAGAAGAAAGTAACATGCAATGGGAAAAAAAGGAGCAGAAATAAGGATAATAGATGTTTGATTATCATTGATAGGAAAGGAGCAAAGCACACCAGAGCACCCGCCAGCCACCCACGTTTAAAATAAGCTTCTAGAGAGAACAAGTGAAGAAAGCCAAATAGATAACTCATTGATGTGCTGTGCGGAATGACTCGTTTCTGAATTCTCTTCTGAGATAAGGAAATTCCTTCTCTTTATTTATTCATTTGTGCATCTTTTTGTTCATTCTTTTGTTCATCTGTTCATCCATTCGTTTGTTCTTTCATTCATTCATTCTTTCATTTGTTCTTTCATTCATTCATTCTTTCATTTGTTCTTTCATTCATTCATTCTTTCATTTGTTCTTTCATTCATTCTTTCTTTCATTTGTTCTTTCATTCATTCATTCTTTCATTTGTTCTTTCCTTCATTCATTCTTTCATTTGTTCTTTCATTCATTCATTCATTCATCTGTTCTTTCCTTCATTCATTCTTTCATCTGTTCTTTCCTTCATTCATCCTTTTGTTCTTTCCTTCGTGTCTTCCAGGTGGTAGAGAAGATGCCCAAAGAGATGCTGGAGACGTCACTTCCAAACCTCATTCCTGGATTGTTTAAGGTGTGTGTGTGTGTGTGTGTGTGTGTCTGTGTGTGTCTGTCTGTCACTTCCTAACCTCATTCCTGGATTGTTTAAGGTGTGTCTGTGTGTGTGTCTGTGTGTGTCTGTCTGTCACTTCCTAACCTCATTCCTGGATTGTTTAAGGTGTGTGTGTGTGTCTGTGTCTGTGTGTCTGTCTGTCACTTCCCAACCTCATTCCTGGATTGTTTAAGGTGTGTCTGTGTGTGTCTGTCTGTCACTTCCCAACCTCATTCCTGGATTGTTTAAGGTGGGTGTGTGTGTGTGTGTCTGTGTGTCTGTCTGTCACTTCCCAACCTCATTCCTGGATTGTTTAAG